GGGAAGCCACGATGCCGCTTTGAGGTGAACTGAAAGGTCTCTGTAATTAGAGAAAGAAAATGGCTAACACTGTCGTCAGCCTGTTTCCATTGACAGATACCTGGCTTGTCTACATAAAGTGCCCAAACTGCAGACCACGTGAGATCCAGTTTTTTGGTACTCACTTGCATTGCAGCGCATTATGCAAGCAAATCATCCTGCAACTAGACATTGTAGATCTTGCTAACACCTCTGCAACCAGCTACAACATTGTCATTAAGGCCATTCAAAACTCCATTGCAGCAGTAGGGAACAACACCCAGAGTCTCCCACCTCAAAAATACTGGCCCCTGCCACTAGAGTTAGAGAGGGATGTCTATTAGCAGTAGCAGGCTTGTGACACGCAGTTGAGTACTACTAGTTCTTTCTATCAGTAGACAGAAGAGTACCTACAAAGCCCAACCACAATCAATGTAAAATCAGTAGCAACCACAATGAGTTAGGTACAGCACTATTAATGAAACCAGAGCCGTCACTTCAAATTCCTTTTCTCAGTATGAAGACTAAAGCTACCCCTTCCCCAACAGTCATTAATCCTTAGGCTGCACAGACACGGTAATATAGCACCATGAGGAGACTGCACCATGGCTGCAGCGAGACTTTATGCAGGATAGTTATAGTCTTGGGAGGCAATGAGAAAATTTCTCTCGGACCTCTGAGCTGGGTTAAAGGGTGTGTTCTGTAGAAGCCCTTCCTTCTGTAACTGCAGATCTGCTAGCCATGATCCTTCCTCCCCTACACTCTGCACCCAGCCATGTGATGCATAGTAGGTAAGGAACCATCCCAAGTTACCTGCATCACAATCCTACCTCCCCTCTCAAGCAGCAAAGCAGCTGGGCCTCTACTGCATCCAGGGGTCTCCTTGCATAACATTCAGGTTTCATGAGTGGCACATTCCCAGGGCCTGATTCCCCTTTCACTCACCAATGCAAGTACCTACAGAGAAGCCAGAGGAGTCACACTACTATGACAGGGGATCAGATTCATGCCCCCAGTGTGTAGTTTTCCTTCTAGAATAATAAAGAGCATGCAGTGATATATTACAGCAACCTAGAAACAGATAACTTGGTATTCAGGGAAAGTTTTCTCCTGCAAATATTTTATTAACCATAGAAGATCGAACCCACAGTATTTGTTAGCTCACTCCTCTAAATTCCTCCTTCCGTAATTTGCAAAAGTAATTGCAGCCTCATTTGCAATCATGAAACAGTAAATCTAGATTTAGTTTAGAGGCAGCTGGTATACAAGTCCCTGGATGCACATATCTTGACTGAGCTCAGCTGAAATCATTTTGATATCACATCAACAGTTTATCTATAAAATAAGATGTTGCCAGAATTAAAATGAACTCTTCAACTTTGAATCCTTACCTCTTTCCAGGAGCTTGCCTTTGTAAATACAAAGGTTTTCTCCTCCACAATGCTGCTGATAGACTTTGATTTCATCTCTGTAATCGGTATCATCATGAGATAAGTGCACATTTTTTCCTAAATAAATCATGGTAACAGATGCATTGCTCCGTAATGAGGGCTTGTGGAATTTTCCTGAATCCTAGAACAGGGAAAACAAAAAATGCAGTCAGTTCCTATCTCTGAACAAGGGGTGAACAAAGGGGCAGCATTTGTACATTTTTGAAGTATTTATTCACTTGTTCTCTCACCAAAGTTAATCTACCTGAATTTCAAATAGATCCAGTACACCTATCAAATCCTTGGCCCCTATCTGCCATGATAGCAAGGCAAAGCTGCTCCTGCCTTGGGCACTGAACATGTCAGGAGTGTGCTGCTGGGAGCTGACCATACTGCGTTCCAGCAATCCCCAGATGGCATCATAAACCCAAGGGGCCAATCTAGCTGCAATAAAAAGAATCCTCACAGCTACTTTTACTCACAAGTGAAATGAAATTGGTAGTGAACCAGACCCAAAAATGAATGCCTGTGCATCTTCATCAGACATATGTTCCATACATAGAGGAGTTACGTTTTCTTTGAATTAGTAAATATCCAAATCTGACTTTGTGTATTTTGGTATCTAACACCTAAATTGGCTTCTCTCCCAATTGTAGGACCCCAGGTCTTATTTATTCCTACATGTCAGCTGAATTTTAGAATTGAAGTACTCTATTCTGCTTGCAAAGCACTTTGAGTTGCAGCAGGGCAAACTTAACATAGCAAATCATTTGGACAGTTAATTGTATCTTTCTCAGGTTGTGAACCACCTACAAGCAGGTTTTGATTTTGATTAGTCTGTTCATTATAAAGAACTTTTTGGCCAATGTTTCAGAGAGGAAAAGTGACAGTTTATAATACAAATCTTCTGCTAACAGAAGATGGATGGGATGATCCAATCAGTCTTTTCCATCCTCTCCAATTCCTTGAGCATGATGTGAGCCTCACTTGAGCATGATGTGAGCCTCACTGGACCTAATGCAAAACTGCCATGAGAACGGATCATGTCCTTTTTGTCAGATGCTTGGACCAACTGCATCAGGAATTTGGTTGGTCTGAAGCAATGAAAGCTAAAAACAAAGTTAATGTATGTGAACGAAGTCATAAAAGGGGTGATGATCCCAACACTCTGAACTCAATACTTTCTTCACTGGAAAGGCCTTGTAAATTGACCTTTAAGAAGAGTTTCATATTAATAATCAAAAGAGCAAAATCAGCTGAAGCATGGTTTTCTTAAGTATATATAGCTACAACTGCAACAAAAAAAAAAAAAAAGACAGAAAAAAAAGAAATTAATTCCTTTCCTAGTTTTTCATTTGGATCACTTCCACGGGATGATTTCAGGCACTGCTGAATCAATGCCTGTCTAGATATTAATATATTAAAAG